ATTTGTTATAATATACAAATAGACATACATTGCTCTAAGAAGCCTGAATCAATCAATTAATTTGCATTTGTGTCTGTTTATGTTTGTATGCTGGTTGTAATGGATAGCAGTAAAATTGTATGATTGATATGTGACTTGGGTATACGTTCCACCTGGACGGAGGATGTGTTGATAGCCCATTAGCCACATGAGGGGACCAGGCTTCCTTGGGCCTCGACCAATCACAACACCAGACTGTTGGTGTATCATCTGAGCTATTCCCCGCGAGTCTTTATGTAACTTCTCCAAGGTCATATTGGACTGTTTTCCTTATCCAAATGTGTGACTTGCTCTAATCAATTGATTTATTGAGGTTAAAAGATCAATAGTCTGGAAGAAATAGTAGCAAGCCTAAAATAGATCCTTGTGTGACACTATTGACAGGTATTTGTGGAATAGGAGATGTAAAATCTTTAGCAGTCTCCTATAAATCCTGATTGCCTCATAATCTTTAAAAAAATAATCTAATCAAACATTTATAAGCTATCCTGTATGCATATATTATCAAAACCTGTTGTGTATTTGCTCACAACAATTTTAAAACATAAATTGCAACTGGACATATTTTAATTTGTTTCTTGTAATTTCAGTCATTTAAAACACCGTTTAACCAAATAAAACAATATAATCATGAACAATAACTCATAAAAAGTAAAGCGCAAATCATGAAATTAACTCTAAAATAATAGAAAAAAATTTTGTCAACACTTGCCACCAGTGTCATGGGCATGAACTAGACACGAACGAGCTTCAACATTTAAAATGGGATAGTAAGTCTACTTGTGTTGGTTAGTCATGGCTATAGCAAATAGCTCACGGTTTGTGCCTGAAGAAACAAAAAGGCATATTATATTATTGTACAACAGAAACGAAATAAATTTTTTTCCACAGCGGTATATAATAAATTGTTAAAGAAATGTTCACCCAATTATCATTACATTTAAATTTGATAAGTTACTCAGTTTACTTTACATAATTACACATTAATCAACAGTTGGGCCCAAACCCAAATCCCGAATATCAAAATTAATAGCAAAACCAGTTTACTTAGTTGAGATTACAAATAAATTAAGATAAACTGTTTAATAATAAAATATTTTCTATTAAATTACAACTGAAAGAAGAAAATTAATCATTCTCAATAATTCCTATGTCTGACCAGGGGGTAAAAATCCGGGGGTATAATTCCGGGGGGTAAACAAACATTTTAAAAAGCTGATTCCACTTTTTCAAATACAATTCAGTACGCTGATGACACTACTGTAGTAGTCCAAGAAAGGAGTCAAGGTGGTCTCGATCTTAATATTGAGGATTGCATTTTTAATTTAAGCACCTGGTTTAAAAACTTTATTAACTTTAAAATACTAAAATTATTAACTTTACCTTGTCTTAATATTTATGAATGATGAAAATTCTACATGAAAAAAAAGAATCCTTTTTGAAAATCACACAAATGCGTATAACACAAGACGTAATTTCATAATATACCCCTCGCACTCAACAGCAAGATTTGAAAAATCTCCTGATTATATGACCCGTAGGGTAATAAATAAATTCTTACTATTAGAAAAAGACAAAGACTTTGACAATTGTTTTTTGAAGAAGGTCAGGCAATACTTGTATGACAAAGCATTTTATACTTTGAATGACTTTTAAACAGTAGTGCTAAGATAGTTTAAGATTTGAGATGACATTGTACTTACTCATCATCAATGTACGAATATTCTTTATGTACACATTTGTATATTTATGGAGAAATAAAACTCTTTCTTTCTTTCTTAAAAATCTGGGGGTAAAATTCTGGGCCATACATCCACAGTTGTTTATATGCTAGTTATATGGTCAGGCGGTAAAATTCCGGTTTTTATTGCTAATCTAATTTATCACGCTCTGTCTATTTCCATTAGACTTCCAAATCCCCGGGGGTAAAATTCCGCCCACGAACAAACTTTAGAGCGCTCAGGTTACTATGTCATAGTGACGTCAGCTTTGTCCAGGGGGTAAAATTTCAGTGAGATAAAATTCCGGCGACCCGAACCTGTAGCTTAATACTTCTAAGTAGGTAGTCTTCTTCATCTTTTCTACTTATTTTAAGGGGTTTACTTTCATTTATTTGCACACCCACTTTAACTCATATGATCTTCTATCATATAATTTTATATTAGCACCACAGCTACATTCCTAACTTAATATTAATGTCTGAAATTGTCAATATTTAGTATACTTACCAACAATTTTATTGCTAACTAATATCATCAAAAAGACAATTGGAAGAAAGTTTAAAGAGATCTGTATACTTATATGGGTTTCCCCTTAAAAGGGGTTCTCCACCAAAGGTTTCTTCTCAAGTTTCACCAATGCCAGATCTATTTCTCAAGAGACAGAGGTTTTGAGTGATTAGACACTTTGAATGACCTTCACATTTGCCATGTCATTGTAAACTGGGAAGTTTCCCAAATGGTTATTTGATATCACTTTGGTTTCCTTTAAAATATTTTTGCAGGGTTTCAAATAGAAAGGACAAAATGATCATGAAACTTATTTATGATAATATGTCAATTTTTTCTTTTTAAAGTTATGAATTGTTGCTTGAGAAATCATCCGATTATTTTTTAAACTGTTCTGTAGAAAATGGTAATAAATACCCCCGCCGCAGCAAACCTGTAGACTAAGCAAATTTTGATTTGTCTAATTGGATTCATACCAAAGTATTCCCATTAAACAAGACATATTTATTTCCCACTAGCAGAGTACCCATCCTTCGTACAGGGTTGGCGTATAAGTATAAAATGCTTATTGCAGTTATACTCATGCTCTGCGTTTGCAATGGGGGAGGACACGGTTTGACATATTTATTTCCCACTAGCAGAGTACCCATCCTTCGTACGGGGTTGGCGTATAAGTATAAAATGCTTATTGCAGTTATACTCATGCTCTGCGTTTGCAATGGGGGAGGACACGGTTTGAGGAAAATTGGTTCTTTAAATATACCGTATGCTATAGTAAACACATATACCATAGCCATAATGCACTGCACCTTAACAATGCAAAAAGTAAATTATCAAACATAAGCCCTATATTACTAATTATTTATAAAGTTAAAAACTTAAACATAACTGTAAATAATCGTACTTTGACAGTTCTCATAAATGAAAAAAATAATATTGTGCTGTACTCTGTTGATAAACATTGTAACTTTTTAATGCTATTAATAATATCTTATGTGTTTCTCAAGACTATCAAGTACCTCTGAAAAATGTCAGCTCAGTCGGTCCAGTAGTTATCACGTGATGGAACTTCAGAGTTACAATTAAACATCTATACTTTACATTTATAATATTAGTAGGATTTAAATAACATTAAATTTAACGATTACTTAGGTTTGCTGCTATGGGGAAGGTGTTTTTGACCAAATGTTAATATAGTATGGGGTGAAAATAGAGAAGTATGTACCCCTACATATTTTTGGTAGAGTTTTTGACCACTGAGTGTCCTCTAGTTTTTATTAATAAGTTCATTTCCCTCCAATTTCCATAAGAATAACCGTTCCACCTACGGTAATAACTACTTCCCTATAGGGAAATTCGCTATAAAAAGGCAAAAACTGTGATTCTATCATATGACTTGCTATGTTTAACTACTCTACTATCAAGTCAATTGTACTGTTGAGAGTTATCTTATATACATCAAAAGTTCATTTAGGAAACTACACTATCCCAAATTCATTATCAGTGTTGACAGGATCATGCTATGTGTTTTATTGAAAACTAACATCAGTTCTCTATAATGAATTTGTTCAACGCAAGGAAGGTTTGTCAATGATTCCCTGACACCATCGATATATTTTTTTCAATATTGGTAATTTTTTTAGGTTGTCAATGTAAGTTTATTATTTCTAATCGGAGACATAGGTGTATGAAAATTGTTTGAAAATTTTCTTTAGTAATATGGGTGAGTACAACTAATAAATCGATAGAATATTAGTACACTCTATTTGGCGTATAGAAATAACACAGCATACTAATAATGCTTAATACTACTGGATGTATAATAATAATGCTTGCTAGATGATTTCTTTTAATTTGGCAGTTATGAACAACACTTTGATACATTTATGACAATTAAGAAGGAAATGAAAACTCTACATTTAGTATTCAGGACATATTTAAATTATTTAGGTAAGTTCTGCTAACACAATTATTAGTGTAAATAAAAATCCTTGCACCGGCCTTCACATAGTCCTTGTGATTCCTCCTTTGCCTCGGAATCAACCATGTGAAACTATGTGACCTTAAAGGGACTACTTCTATCTTTACCGTGCACCTGCATACTTAGTAAAACATCCTGAATATAGGGAACGTGTTCATTGTTTTGATTTGATATTAGTGTACCTTTTAGCAAATTCCCCACAGGAAATAAGTTATTGGTGTAGGTCTCATGGTAAGACCTGGACGATTTTGACGGGTTTCATCTAGTATTTTTATAATTACAGTAAAAAATCCCCTTAAAAAGCGTATATTACCCAAACCAAAAAACCGCTTGTAATTTATTTTCATATTTCATCGTAAAATTAAATTAAATTTACAACCTGGGAGTGTTGCAGTTATAATATGTTTAGAACCATTATAAATGAACCAAAAGGCTAGCGATTTGTAATGTTTTAATCCTTTTAAACAATCTATTGCACAGTCTCTTGCAATTTTCATTACTAAGACATTTTCCAAATGACCTTTACATAACAGTTCACAAGCTGTATCTGTTACCTGTATAGATCCTAATGTGATTTTAAGGTGTTTTTTTTATAGGATGTGAAGGTGACATGACATATTGATGTGCCTCTCAGTGTTGCTGGAGCCTCTCCCTCGTTCCTCCCACACGCCATGCTAATTAACAATCTTTACCTTCAAATTGTACTCTATGTTTTTCCTGTCTAGTTTTTTACTGTATGTTTACTGTTACAGACATGTGTCCGTTGTGGCCGCTACACATCATACTGATGTACTTAGTAATGTTGGCACCTCTGTGGATGGTCTCATGTCAGGTTGGTAGCACTGGAACATGTATAATTCAGCTTCCATCACTTTTACTTTTGGGCTATGTTGATATTGGCTTTGTAGCACTGTACAAATGTTTATTGTTCGATACAATTATGCTTATTGAAGATAATGTTATTTGTGAATGGTAAAACGGTTGTGTTGGCACATTAACAGTTCTTATCATATGCTCTTATACAGTATGTAATTATAATATTAGTACCGGGATTTTTGCTCGGATTGAATAAATCATTTATGAGATAAGTTGATTAGCTAAATTAAAAAATAATTGTTATGTTATCAATGTGAACACATTTTATATTATTTAAATGGAAGCAATTTTTTTGGAATTTTATCCGTAACCAATATGCGTAGAAAAATGCTACCATACTAAATCATTTGTTTTTAAGCTCTTCAAAATAGTTTAAAGAGAAATTAGGAAATTTTATGTTTTGAGGGTCAAAAATTAATAAAAAATATTTCAACGCATAAAACTTCTAGCAAACGTTCCCATGGTCTGATGCTGGTTTGCTAACTCCAAATTTGATCAAAATCGAATGAATAAATTTTAATAAGTACTTAGGTTTGCAACCACAGAAAATGTAACTAAGTTTTTTTTTAATAAAAACGTTAATAGCTAGGTATGAAATAAAAAAAAATTGTCAAATTTGATCAAAATATACCGGTACCCCTAAACAAGCAACTACAACAGATTACTTATTCTCTATAAAAATTACATGAACATTATCAATTCATATTTTTTTTTTTTATTTCCCTGTAACTAGAGGTACAATTTATTTTACACTACTCTACATTGTTATTTTTTTATGTAGGTACTCTACAAAATAGTTTTGGAAAAATTATAAATTTTTTGGGGGTTCAAAAATGGAGAAAACCACCTTTTACCACATAATGTGTTCCTATAGCGAACACACCGATTATAGTGGTTGGCGAACTTGATAGAATAAATCTAGGTTTACATATTTTTGACCTTTGAGGGTCAGGAGAAAATAAGTCGACAATGACTGGTAGTGTATACTTATCTTTATCTAGCACTATTTTGAGATTATGGTCCTTAGTTTGTAAATGCACAATGTTAAAATGGGCTAAAAATCAAGTTTTAAAAAGCCCTCATAACTTTTGAATGAATCAAGATTTTAAAAAACGGTTTGTGGCATTGTAATCAGGGTAAAAATCTAGTTCAAAATAATGGGTCACAACTTCACCTTTACATTTGAAAAATATATTTTGCATCCAAGATGGCGGCCAGAAATGACCACTCTGTCAAAATGAAGTACTTACTACCCAACAATGTTTGGAAGTGGTCTGGGATTGATATTTGAAAAAATGTAGAAAAAAGTTGGGGGGGGACATTTAAAACTCACCCTGTATGTAAAATATGACATTTTTAAGGAAATATTTTAATGCAAGTACAATCAGGCAAATGGAAATTCACTTAGTGCAGGTTTGCTGTGGCATTTATTTACTGAAGTTATCGTGCCATCAGCTAATCAGCTATTTTGGTTAACTGCAGCTACAAAAAGGTCCATAACAATAACATGGGCATTTCAAAGGCTGAAGGACGGAAACTGGATTTTTCCCAACCTTTCGTGGTCAAATACGCTATATTAAACAAACAAAATTGACAAGTTAGACTTAGTAAAAATGTTACTAAAAAAGTAATTTTGCACCAAATTATCAGTGATTTTCAACTTTATAAAATTTGAAACAAAAAATAAAATAACTTTTCAGGTGGTGAAAAAGGCGACTTGGGCAGTTGACTTTCATCCGGACAAGTTGTTAGGATTACCAATGTATGACATAGCACAAGTCTCACTCACAACTAGCGATCTGAGCGAAGAGGATCTAGCGAGTGGGAGAGTGAGCGTGTTTAGCGATCACCCAGACATAGCAGAGCTTCTTGTAGATCAGCCAATAGTGCTCAACACACAAAACATCACTGGTGGAACTTGGACCACAGCGTTCAATGTCAGCGCAAACTTCATCGGTTACACAGAAGTGAAGATGAGGATTGACAGTGAGTATTGAATGTTGTTGTAAGGTTTCACGATTTTTAATATTCAAACGTCCATGGTGTGGAATCATTTGCTCCAGGATATAGCTAGTCCTGTTTAGCCAGTTGTCGGATTACCACATGGTTTTGTGCTCCAACTAACTCACAAAATACATAGTAAAAATGAACTTGCCAAGATAAAATTGTGGCAGGTCATATATCAATAGCCTATTTGCAAAACAAAGCCTAAATAAAAAATAGCCAACATATTAAAGCCTAACTATTTAATCAGTTACTAGCCTAGGCCTAGTTAGGCTCAACTAACTAATTTCTACTGTAAATTATGAATAAATAGTATAAACCTTCTGAAATATATTACATTAGTAGGAAAAATGGATAAAAGGAATGGTATTTGTTTAATAAAATTGTATTCTGATCCTCATAACATGTTAAAAATCTGCATTCAAATCATACAACCAAATCGGTGGGTAAAAGCGATCGTTAACGGCAAACAAAAAACCGTGATAAAAACCTAAATAATGATAATACATATTTTTCTGCCGAAATCGTAAATAATGGTAATTTAGAAACATAACCATAAAACATTGCAGACGGAAAGTTAGATTCAAATCAAAAAGGTGGATGACGTCAGAACTCGAGACACCAAAGAGAACTAAAATAAAGAGGTTAGATCAAAGATCGGGAATAGTTTTCAATCATTTTGCAACGAAACTAAAAAAAAGCTGAGAGAAAGCTACATGCAGACAATATATTTGGACTAAACCACGTAAATTTCTAAGCCAATAGGATTACGAGTTGACATTCAAGTCGGTGTAGGTGAACAATTTCTGAAAATTATCTCGTTTTTAACAAAAAAAAAAAGTAAGTAGAAGCTAGCCATCTTGAATCTGAGGCAATGAAGAAAAGAACTAACGTAACGTACTTCTCTTTCTTCTTGGGATAACGAGTCAAAGGAAGTGGCCATAAAATTATGTTCTCAATTTTAAGAAATTAACAAACTGTTTTTAAACTTTGAAAATGGCATAAATTCTATTAATAAATCAACTACAAGCAAAATAGGCCTACAATTATTAATTATACATTAAAATTAGCGAAGAAGACTGTAAGTAAACTATTTTGAAGATCTGCACGTTGACCAAATTCGCAAGTACATACCAACTTTTACAAATTGAACTAATATAAAAACTTTTGATAACAATCTATTAACCAAAGACTCCACTATAAACTCTATGATACCTTTCCCATATAGTTTAAGTCAGGTGTAGGTTTAACCTCAATTATCCCATCCATAATGTAGATTAATTAATTTTATCATAAACTAGGCTAACTCTATTACCTATTGTATTTAAATTATACCTTGGGCTATGTAAAATTAACTTATTGTAATTGATTCTAAAACAGTAAATAACTCTTTCAGTAATTGATGTTGTAAGTTATCATTTTCACACAGCTCCACCACGCACCCTAATATTTAGATAAAAAAAAAAACGACCCTGAGATTAAGACAAATTAGCCTAATTAGATTTGCGTATTTCAACCAAATTTTCTTTCAAAATTAATTTAGGCTAAAAAGAAGATAAATGCAACAAATTATTCTCTATAATGGGTAATTTACTATAGTATGTATGATGGAACATGTCTCCCGACCCTTCGTCTACTTTGGGACTGGTAATTTGTCTAAGGCCTGCACCAGTCCCAGGTAGACTAGGAGACAGGTTCCATCATACAGACTATAGATCAAATGTTAAATTAAATAATGTGTGGACTTGACGTCTTTCATGTTTGTTTGTATGAAAGAAAAATTGACCAGCAACACATTACAATAAACATGTAGGCTATACATAAGGAAAAAGGAGTGGATACACAACTAACTGACCTGAGAAAACAGTGTCAAGGAGTTGATAGGTCACAAAACCCCCTGCACAACTCAACTTACTTGATATTTCACCCTCCTTCTATTAAAATATTATAATTAATTCTTTTAAAATACCTTAGACCATTCTACCACCAAATGACCTAGCGATCAATCTAATGATGAACTTGAATTAGTTTCAGTTTTTCCACTAAGCAAATTTCAAAGTCAAAGCTTTTATCCTTCAGTAAAGCTGAGGTGTGTGATTAGTTAAATTTTTTTAAAGTCAATGTAGTCAACTATGGTGTTTGTGGAGTTAAAAGTAGTTTTAAATATGATATCCCATGTGTAGGTAAATCATCATCTCGTACATCCGATCCCCTCAAGGTCACTGTGACCCGCAAGAAGCGAATAATCGACACAGTATTCATGTCCAGCGTGATTGTACTTGTATCTATCATCTTCATCAACTTCGGCTGTGCTCTGGACTGGCCTTTCTTGCGCAAGTCACTCCGAAGGCCTGTAGGTCCTGCCATCGGTTTCTTCAGCCAGTTTATCATAATGCCTTTGGTGAGTTTCGATATTGTATCAGCAGATTGACTGTAAACCATGTAGGCATTCCTAGGAATATTGTATAAATTTCCAGTTTTAATCAGTGAAAATTTCTCTTTTAACAGTAATTTCTTTTGTGTTGCGGGTTCAATAAATAACATTTTTGATTCGTGTAATTTTTATTTAATGAGATTGTTAATAGTAAATAATAGATAATAGATTCAATGCAAGTGAGTTGTAGAAGCCTGATATTTGATTGTGGTTTGTTTCTTGGTTTGAAACTCACCTGAATCAATTGCCCATGGTAAATAAAAGTCACATAGTTTATTAATACTGTACCTCAATCTATCTATATACTGTATTATATTTCGTAAGGCAATTCTTTCCGTCAAAATTGTGGGCGTCCGGCAAGTCATAGAAAGACGAGAGAGGGCTCAAATTAAAGGTCTTTTTTATTTGACAGCAGGAAAAATAGTTAAATTCTCATAGTTTTAACAGAAAATTTGTTATAACACAAAATTTTCTCCATAAGAATAGCATTAGAAGTAAAAAAAAAAACAGCTGATTTGGTTTACATCGATACATGTGATCAATTTTATAACTCAACTATCAAACTTCATTCTAAATTATTTTGTTATGTTAACATTTCTTCACAGTTTACGGTTATTTAAATAATTAAGCTAACGAGGTGTTAGCCCATCCTACGTACGGGAATTCAGTAGTCAATTAAAACCGTGTACAATTCAGATCAGCTAGTTTACACATATAAAGACAAAGTTTCTTTCAGTTTAAATGTGAAAAATCATGTTGTGAACAAATGTTGTGTTACCAAATATGTTTTTATTCCATCATAGGCCTATACGATATGCATTTTAAATCCGATAATTTTACAATAAAACAGCAATTCTGTCATAGTCAGGTTAAGTCAGGTTAAGTGTAAGAAAGGGCCATGTGGCCCTAACTTTGCCTGAAAAAATAAAGGATTTTTCATTTCATTTCATTTTTTTTCATTCATTTCATTTCATTTCAATTCTGCAATTTTTACGATGTGAAAAGCGTTGAAGTGAGATTTGCAGCCGATTCGCACACACTGATTATAAGTAGCCTATAGTAGAGAGAGTAACAGTCAATTGAGAAGTGTATAGACCTAGGCAACGATACCACCTTCCATCGCATACCTGCCTCTTCCATAATTATTATCACCACAATACTACTATACACAATTTCCAGTAGGTCTGAATAGAAACGACCTAAAATAAAACGATAATATCCAATAAAATTCATAGTACACATAATTTAACTTTGGTGTCCTAACATCAATTAATTGCTAAATAAATAAGTGTAAAAAAAGAAAAGTAAAAACAATAACAGTTTGTTTTGAAACAGCTGTTTGGTCAAATAACATTCATTTGAAAAAAAGAACTGGTCACATGTAGCAGGAATATAAAAAAGTAAACACGCTAGTAAAGCTAATGACGTAATTGTCAATGTTTATTATCCATACCGTTATCAGTGCTATCCTTGATAATTATCCACCCTCATCGAATAAATGTACATCGTAATTTCGTAATGTTGACGTTGTGTTCAATCTATGTCATCCATCTGTTTATCTTTGTATAAAACCCGGCTGAGGTTGTGGTGGTAATTTAAAATCATGATTCCTGATTATTCTTGATCTTCTTTTTATGACATCAATATTCCCGGGCCTAATCCAAACAAAGTTAAAGCAGACAAACATTAATTGTAAACAGAAAGCTACCATGAAGAATTAAAAGATGTAAACACTGTTATTTTTCTAATCTTTCCTTGAAAAGTGGAGCAGTAAAATAATTTGCATTTATCCTTTTTTATTAAGACTCGTGTACAGAGCCTTGATTTGTACTGTGGTTTAATTAATTTTGGTCTAAACTATTTTAAACTGTGGTCTAATTATCTCTACTAATCTTACTTATTTCCTATAATCAATGACAAAATAAGAGTACATAAAATAACCTCATAGTTCCATAGTTTATGTTTAACCAGCTGTTAGTTAAAACAAATTATATTGCTCTAAAACAAATCGAAGATTACAAAGATTGCTTTAAAAAATAATTTGAACATCCTAGTATTTTACTATGTATATTTAATTAATCTGTCATCCTCTTAGAGAAGAATTGAACGTATCAATGATTAGCATTACACATAGTATAAATAAGTCAACCCTAAGTATGTCTTTACATTTTTATCCAAATGCTGAATTTGTGACACAAAAGCTGAATGTTTACAGCTGTTATGTTAAGCAAATTATTTTATGCCAAAAGCTAGTTTAGAATCTTAGCGTCGGCTGCTAGACTTTTTAAAAACTAAAACTTAATTTCTAGAAAACTGGGACCCTAAACTAAAATTATGGCTTCGACATTCCCTAGTTCTCAAAATTATCTTTCTTTCAACATAAAAATCATGAAAATCCGTCGAGTGGTTGATTCAGAATCGTGAAATAAAAAAACACTGTTTCGTTTTAATATTATAGATACTTTGTACCCAACACGAAATAAACACAGTTGCTTTTTTTATTTTCTAACATAATATGTTAAAGCTTTATTATTGTTAACTATTTGTTTACATTTCTTCGCTTTTTAGTTTTTTTTTAAAGTACATTTTTTTAAGTTAATTTTTTTTAAGTTAATTACAGGTATATTAACCTAGTTAATGTACATGTAATAGCTATAAAATACAGAATAATTAAATTTTTTTTTCTTAGATAGATTCAGATTGAAGATGTAATAAAAAAACTTCTTCTTTTTATTTTAAAACAAATGTTCAATCTCAAACGTAAATTATTATTTTTTTTATAACTTTTCACTTTTAATGTTATTGTAGCGTTTAACAAATATAAACATGGAATAAACTCTTTGATTTCAAAAATAAAAACTATGAACACCAGGGGATAAGACCCAAAAGGAAAGGTGGGGAATCGTTTACAGAAATGATCTCGGAAAATTAAGATATATGTTACAACCACCATTCAGAATACCGATAATTGGCGAGAGAAATATGAATATAGATAATGCAGGTGTAACATTGCAATGCAGGTGTTCTTAATTTTAGAGTAAAGACGTAATAATAACCATTTAAATATATGTTATCACAACAAACTTATTTATCTACCCCAGCCAAAAACAAAAATATTTATTTGAACGAAGACCACAACCATTTACAATTCATTCAATTCATTTGTCAATAGACCAGTGCAATGGCTTTTGATACTTTTTTAGCCACAAATAAATACATTCCAAAAAAATTTCCCTTTTGTTTGGCCAGATTTATCGTTCAATCTCTGATTTGCTGCCAACACTCAAAGAAAGACCATTCTTATGGTCAACTATGGCCTTCATAATTAAAACTTCAGCGGCTGCTGAAATTTGTCTAAGGGGCAAAGAAAATAGTGATGGGACTTGAAACATGAGATAGTGTCGAGGTCCTACACGTCCAACACGGTGTAGGAGTAGCTAAAGTTTTACCTGAGATATATAGACATATGTTTATATTTACAAAAGAGCTTCAGGACAAATGGTTGCACAAGAAGAAAGTAATGAATTCGAACTTATATTTGTAGATAACACAAATATGGATTTTGTAGATATAATAAACCTACCCCACATGAAATTGTGGTGTCTTCAATTCAACCGAAGGCAAACCTCCAGCAAATTGACATATAGCTATTTTCAGAGAGGGTGGTTAAATAACTGCTTTCCGTGTTGAGTCCACATTGAGATCTAATAGGCCTACTATACTCACTTTTAGGGAAATTACGACACATAGATAATTTCTTTATTAGTTCCTTTGATTTACTATATTAGTTTTCTTTTTTAGGATTTTTCGAGGCCTTGCCCCCACAAGCCACTAATCTATAATTCATTGGGGTTTGGGATTTTAGGCTCAATCAGACGAGACAGAGTTGTACAATAGATGGCTAAGACATGAACTCTAACCTATGTGACTGTGTTCACAGCTATCCTACATGATAGGCTTGCTGCTCTTCGCAAACTCAGTGCCAATGCGTCTCGGTCTATTCTTCACAGGGATAGCTCCGGCTGGCGGAGCTTCTAACATCTGGACGTTCACTCTCGGTGGAAACCTGAACCTCTCCATCACTATGACGGCTGTCAGCACTATTGCATCTTTTGGTAAATGAGATTTTGTTACCTGTTTACTCATTTCAAGTAACAACTCAAAGAAGATGTTTTGCAAACGTATTAACTTCAATCTGTATACTCAATACGGTGAAGATTTTTTTGTTTCAAAACTTACCCTCAAATATTCTGAGATATGTAAACTGGCTTTAGATTTTTGATTTAAGACATAAAACTCTTAAAGAAATGCAAAAAGCGCTTAGTTTACATTTCTAATTTAGAATTCAGAAAGTATATTTTTTTCCTTAAAATCTATATATTAATAGGCAAGCATGTTTCTTTAAAACCTTTTTTCTCAGCTTGTGTGCATCGCAGGGGAAATCTACGCATACTGTTAGAAAGATATTTTCCTGTGGCTGTGCAGAATCTCTTTAAAATTTTAATAGGCTCAAAAATAAGCACAAAAATGAATGTGAAATTAAAAAAAAATTATCATGGGCTTTATGGGTTGCCATGCTGGTGACGAAATAACAACGAAATATAAACAGAATATCAAAACAAATGTAAGAAATTCCAATCACATGTTTTATTTACAGTGTGGGGTGAAAAATAGAGAAGTATGTACATAATTGGGTTGATTTAGCTAGAAAAAACAACAACTGTAGGCCTACATATTTTTGGTAGAATTTTCGACCACTGGACGATTACTTGTTCTTATTTAAAATTCAAAAAGCACATTTATTTAATTTGCATTTCCACTGAATTTCAACTGAGTGTATTTTCACTATGAGTGTAGAATTTGAAGTTAAATTAGATTTTTTTTAGTTTTGAATGATGATAATCAGTTTTGTGGTGAATGACCACGATGTGATCTTTTCTCAAATCCAGCCTATTGACCATTTGCCTAAAACCCAATGGTGGGTTACTGTATAATATAGTAGTGGCCACAAAAACCCGTTTTTGGTGTATTTATGTTTATAGTTTAAGACAGATTATTGAGGTTCTACTGTAATTCCAACATTTTGAATAAGTTCCCCAGTGATTATTTACATTACCAGAAAAGTTATTGAAAACTCTTACTCTGAAGGTGTTGATGTTTTGTCTCTATATAGTGATGATTCCCCTGTGGGCATTCACTCTGGGTCAGGAGATCTTCAGCAGTGGTGCGATGGTTGTCCCATACAACCGTATTGCCTCCTCAGCCATTGGCCTCGTTGTGCCTCTCTCCATCGGCTACGCTGTGCAACACTTCGCCCCGTCACTCTCCAAGCTACTTGTCCGCATACTGAAGCCTTTCTCTATCATTCTCATCCTCAGTATCATCATCTTTGCTACGGTCACCAACTGGTATCTCTTCCGATTGTTCACTTGGCAGGTTTGTTAGAATTGGCAGGGTAGGCCTATACTAACTTTACTTCACCATATTTGAATATTAAGTTAGCCTACTTAAATCAATTAATCTTTACCTAGTTTAATCCGTTGCTCATAATCGAGAAAAACTGCAACTTTCAATAAAAGAATAAAGAACAAAAAATAAACAGCTACACTTTAATCAAAGAGTCACATAAGAATCTCATTTGACTTTTTGGAGCTCTTGTTCCTACAAATTTTTCACAGTCTTAAAAGATTGGACAAATTGGTTGGTGTTTTCATTGAGTGACCCTATTACCCATTACATTTTTTGTCAGCTTTTTGTTTCATACCCTTGGGTTGGGTTCCATTGTCAACGTCGTACATATAAATTTCTGCGTATTTAGGATCCCAACCTTCTTGAGGAATGAGAGGACCTACTCGATGGTAAAACAAGTCATTCGTCTTGAAATTGTAGATCCCATGCGTGATCCTCTAATCTAAATGAGCTTTGGAGCTGACCATGACAAATGCGAAATTGAGTTGACGAATGTAATCCGAATAATTTCTGAATCTTTATCTGAATCTTAATTATGAATCTTTATTATATCTTTAATATCTGAATCTGTAACTTATAATCACATAGTTTATAATTAATAAAATCATGTGTATGTTTGTTTTATCTTGAATCATTTTCTGAAAACAAAGTTTATGATTAAGTTTAACAACTATTAATCTATTATTGAGTGGAGCGAAGCGAAGCTCTTTGAGATCAACTTCAATGCAATCTTTATAACACTTCATCTGAATAACGGCTGAACATATTTTAGCCAAACTTACGAAGGTTGTTTTGTCAAATGTTTAGATGGTTTAGACGTAATTAATTTCAATTTTTGATAATTCCTATATAACTTTAAAGTTTTTTTTTTTTTTTACTTTATAGTTAATATACTCAAAGTTTTAAATTTTAACATTGGTCTTATAGGTTGCCATCCATGATGGTTACAAAATAACAACGTAAATGTAAACAAAACAAAGAATCATAGCATATGTTCAAATCAAGCCAAAGGAAAAAAAAGTAAAGTAAACATAGCACAAAGGAAAAAAATTTGATGATGACAACTGATTAAATAATACAGAGGAAGTCTTAGATTTACATTTAAGTCGCAATATGAAAACGACCACTGATCGAATAGGTACAGTCATAGATAAATCATACTTTCTTAGGAACAGTATTTAACAGATTTGATTTACCTAGCTAAATAAGGTTATAACAATAACATTTTATCTATAACTATTCGTAGGTGAATCACATGGATCAATCTCATAGATGGCGAACTTAAACAGGTCCACGACGTAGGAAGTGGTGAAGGAAGTAGTAAAGGCAAGAAGTGCGGAGTTTGGGAAACGTTTGTGGCAGTTACGTTAATGTATCTGCAATACTAAAAACTTATGGGAAGGGAGGGAAACAGGTCCAAGACGTAGGAAATAGTGAAGGAAATGGTAAAGGCGAACACTCCGGAGGGTGGGAACCGCTTGTGGCAGATATTAATGTATTTGCAATAACAGGTCCACAACGTTGGAAATGGTGAGGGAAGTAGCAAAGGCTGGCAGTGCGAAGTGTGGGAACCGTTTGTGGCAGTTACAGTAATGTATCTGCAATACTATGATGCTATGGGAAGGAAGGAAAACAGGTCCATGACGTAGGAAGTGGTGATGGAAGTAGTAAAGGCTAGGAGTGTGGTGTGTGGGAACCGTCTATGGCAGTTAGATTAATGTATCTGCAATCTTAAAACGCTCTATGAAGGGAGCGAAACAGGTCCACGTCATAAGAAGTGGTGAAGGAAGTAGTACAGGCTAAAGGTGCTGAGTGTGGAAACCTTTTGTGGCAGTTAGATTAATATATCCGTATCAGCAATCCTAAAATGCTATGGGAAGGAAGGGAAAAAGGTACATGACTTAGAAAGCGATGACGGAAGTAGGACAGGCCAGGTGTGTGGGAACCGTCTGTGGCAGTTAGATTAATATGTATCTGCAATCTTAAAATGCTCTATGAAGGGAGGGAAACAGGTCCACGACGTAGGAAGTGGTGAAAAAAGTAGTATAGGTTAGCAGTGCAGAGTGTGGGAACATTTATATTTTGTATTATATCTATAAACATTTTTTCATTTATTACTTTATAAACCGTGAAACATGATTGCTCCGCTCAACTGGCTTTCACTGATCTGAAAGCAATCCTAGTATTTTCTTTCTTTATAAAAAAGAATTTAAGCCACCACAATGTAAACATTTAACGTTCATTTGTCCAAGGTTGGATGTAACACCACGGCGGTCTAGTACTGCCGCTCTGTATCCATCAAAATGTTCCATTGGGAGGGTGTTGCAAGTGGCCACGTTCTCGTTTTCTCCGGCCACTCACAGTTTTATCGTCTCACAGGTGTCATTTCATTTTAAATTTAAATAAACCACAAAGGTTAACGAAACAACAGAAAAATACACTACAAAGAAATGTAATCTTATATACTAAAAAAACTTTTGCAAAACCTATGACAGCTAGCCTGGCCATACTACTGGACCGAATTACACACGGTTGGTACCAAATGAAAGATATTTTCCTGTAGATGTGCAGAATCCCTTTATAAATTAAAATAGGCTCAAAAATAAGCATGAAAAATGAATTTGAAATTAAAAAAAAATTAACATGGGCCTTATGGGTTACTATGCTGGTGACAAAATAACAACAAAATATAAACAGAAAATCCTAACAAATTTCAATCACATGTTTTATTTAAAGTGTGGGGTGAAAAAGAGAAGTCTGTAGCCTACATTAGACCTACATATTTTTGGTCGAGTTTTCAACCACTGGACAATTTCTGTTTTACTATATTAACTATTATACGGAGTCGTTCAAAGAAGGAATTGTCTGTGGCAGTTAGATTAATGTATCTGCAACACTAAAATGATATGGGAAGGGAGAGAAAAAGGTCTATAGGCCCGTTCACACGGGGCGAGTTTACAAGCTACACGCCAGCGTGTAAGAAGCCGGCGAGTTGGCGAGTGTGCTTGTATTCGTTCACACGGAGCTTGTCCACTCGCCAACTCGCAGACGTGTAGAAAGACACCGGCGAGTCGGCGAGTGCGCTTGAAGTCGTTCACACGATGCTTTTTCCACTCGCTCAGTAGCTGGCTTGAACCAAATCCTCCAACATCTTTGAGTAACAAGCGCACAAGCACAAGCAACTGTGTTCACACTGGGCTACTTTGCACGCCTACTCGCTCAAAAGCTGGCGAGTTGGCGTGTAAAGTAGCGGCAGCGTCAACTTTTTCCAGAGCTTTTTTACAAGCAGCTTTTGAGCGAGTACGTCGTTCACACTGAGCTATTTTACTAGCTGCGTGTAAAAAATCCGGCTTGTAGCTTGTAAACTCGCCCCGTGTGAACGGGGCTTATGATGTAGGAAGTGGTGAAGGAAGTAGTAAAGGCGAGCCGTGCGGAGTGTGGGAACCGTCTGTGGCAATTAGATTAATGTATCTGAAAGGGTCCGCGGAATTGGCTAACTCTAGAACTCGCTAACCCCATGTTAAACGCCCTATCTTCAAATTTGGTCGATGAGAGGAACTCGCTAACTTGTTCGGTTTCGGAATTGGATAACTCCGGAACCCGCTAACCCACTCTGGAGGCGGGTTAGTGAATTCCGTCCTCTTACGGAAGTCGCTAACTCGGTCCCTCGGCGGAACTCGCTAACTCCCAATCAGAAGCCTCGTGTGCCGTCCAATGGGAGCCAAGCACGAAGATTTTTGGCCAGTGTTGCCGAAAGTGAACACCTATGATCGTATCGGTAGCATAATGTTGTATCCTGTGAATAATTGGGAGTAAGAGCAACATAGTTGATAAAATAAATATATTTAGAAGTATGTTTAGTATTATTCTTATTATTATTAGGGTAGAAAATGCATTATAGTCTAGACTAACCAACACAAGTAAACTTTACATCCCATTGTTAACTTTGAAGGTCGTTTTTTGTGTCTAGTTCATGTCCGGTGACACTGATCGCTAGTGTCGACGAAATTGTGTTTCTATTATTTTATAGTTAACTTCATGATTTGTTCTTTACTGTTTGGTTATCTAACTAGAAGACGTGTTATTAGTTATGATTAGAACGTTTTATTTGGTTAAATGAGGTTTTTAATGACTGAAAACAAAAAACAATTGCAAACAAAACACGATATCTAAAGACAGTGCACCGGACAAAACCAACAATAAAACTGTCTTCAGCTGATCCATAAGGATGATGTTTTATACATGGTTTTCTTACTTAAATAGTAGTTTATTGGGATGCAAAAAGATAGTGTTGTATATTTATATTTAATTTAGATCTTATGTTATGAAATATCTATTCTCGTAGTCCACCATTTGTTTCTTTTATTCAAATAAATACACTTTTGTGAACTTCTGCAAATAAAAAATGATTAAGTTCGTATTTAGTATACTGGGCTTGTAACCTTGAATGCTTGTCCTTGATAGGTTATAATATTTGACTCTTTAAAGGCCTATTATATCTGTCGTGCGAGTGTTAACAATAGTTTGGTTCTTCTTAATATTTCTGTATTGTTACCGAAATAATTCCGAATCATAGTATTATTAAACAAATAAAAATAGTTTTGATATTTTTCTATAGCAGGCACATGATTTACCTAGGTACATTAATTAATAACGCAAATCAAAAACGTTAACAATGTATTACAATATTGCGTCTTTACTTTAGTCAAGAAAAGGAATATATTAAAACGTGACAGTGTGTTTTATTTCACGTTTCTAGACAGATTTTCATTATATTTGTGTTGAAAGAAAGATAATTTTGAGAACTAGGGAATGTCGAAGCCATAATTTTAGTTTAGGTTTTCAGTTTTTTATAATTTAAGATTTAATTTTTAAAAAGTCTACCAGCCGACGCTAAGATTCTAGACTAGCTTTTTTATACCATTTGCTTAACGTAACAGCTGTAAACATTCAGAGTTTGTGACACA